AATTTCATTTTCTTAAATTTGTTGAAAATTGTTTTGTGGCCTATCATATGGTCTATCTTGGAGAATGTTCCATGTGCTGATGAATAGAATGTGTATTCTGCAGTTGTTGGGTAGAATGTTCTGTAAATATCTGTTAAGTCCATTTGTTCCAGGGTATTGTTTAAGTGTTTATTTGTTGACTTTCTCTCTTGATGACCTCTCTAGTGCTGTCAGTGCAGTACTGAAGTCCCCACTGTTATTGTGTTGCTATCTCATTTCTTAGGTCTAGTAGTAATTGTTTTATAAATTGGGGAATGCCAGTGTTAGGTGCATATATATTTAGGGTTATGATATTTTCCTGTTGGACTAGTCCTTTTATCATTATATAATGTCCTTCTTTGTCTTTTTTAACTGCTGTTGTTTTAAAGTTTGTTTTGTCTGATATAAAAATAGCAACTCCTGCTCACTTTTGGTGTCCATTTGCATGGAATATCTTTTCCACCCCTTTACCTTAAGTTTATGTGAGTCCTTAGGTGTCAGGTGAGTCTTTTGAAGACAGCAGGTACTTGGCTGGTAAATTCTTACCCATTCTGCCATTCTAAGTCTTGTAAATGGACCATTTAGGGCATTTACATTTAATGTTAGTATTGAGACATGAGGTACTATTCTATTCATTGTGCTGTTTGTTGCCTGAATACCTTAGGTTTTCTTTCATTGTGTTGTTGTTTATTAGGTTCTTGAGATTTATGCTTTCTGGAGATTCTGTTTTGGTGTATTTCAAAGATTTGTTTCAAGATTTAGAGCTCCTTTTAGCAGTTCTTGTAGTGCTGGCTTGGTAGTGGCAAATTCTCTTAGCATTTGTTTCGCTGTAAAAGACTGTATCTTTCCTTCATTTATGAAAACTTAGTCTTGCTGGGTACAAAATTCTTGGCTGATAATTTTTTGGTTTAAGGGGGCTAAAGATAGGACCCTAATCTATTCTACCTTGTAGGTTTTTTGCTGAGAAATCTGCTGTTAATCTGATCGGTTTTCCTTTATAGGTTACCTGATGTTTTTGCCTCATACCTTTTAAGATTCTTTTCTTTGTCTTGACTTCAGATAACCTGATGACTATGTGCCTAGGTGGTGATCTTTTTGCAACATATTTCCCAAGTGTTTTTTGAGCTTCTTGTATTTGGATGTCTAGATCTCCAGCAAGGCTAGGGAAGTTCTCCTCAATTATTCCCTCAAATATGTTTCCAAACTTTTAGATTTATCTTCTTCCTTGGGAACACTAATTATTCATAGGTTTGTTCATTTAACATAATCCAAAACTTCTTGGAGGCTTTGTTTATTTTTTAAATTGTTTTTCCTTTGTCTTTGTCAGATTGGGTTAACTTGAAAGCCTTGTCTTCAACCTTTGTTCTATTCTTCTATTTGTTCAAGTCTATTGAACTTCTATTCAAGAAGTTCTTTCTTCTATTTGTTCAATTCTATTGGTGAGATTTTCCACTGCATTTTGCACTTCTCTAAGAGTATCCTTCATTTCCAGAAGTTGTGATTGTTTTTTATTTATCCTACCTATTTCACCAGAAATTTTTCCATTCATGTCTTGCATCATTTTTTTTTTTTTAATTTCTTTAAGTTGGACTTTACCTTTTTCTGGTGCCTCCTTGATTGGCTTAAGAGTCAACTGTCTGAATTCTTTTTCTGGCAATTCAGTGATTTCATCTTGGTTTGGATCCATTGCTGGTGAGCTAGTGTGATCTTTTGGGGCTGTTAAAGAACCTTGTTTTGCCATGTTAATAGAATTGTCTTTCTGATTCCTTCTCATTTGTGTAGACTATGTCAGAGGGAAGATCTGGGACTCAAGGCTGCTGTTCAGATTCTTTTGTCCCACAGGGTGCTCCCTTGATGTGGTGCTCTTCCCTTTCCCCCAGGGATGGGGCTTTCTGAGAGCTGAACTGTAGTGATTATTTCTCTTCTGGATCTAGCTACCCAGCAGAGCTACTGGGTTCTGGGCTGGTACTTGGGAGTATCTGCAAAGAGTCCTGTGATGTGATCTGTCTTCAGATCTCTTGGTAATGGATACCAGCACTTGTTCCAGTGGAGGTAGCAGGGGAGTGAAGCATACTCTGTGAGGGTCCTTGATTGTATTTTTGTTAAGTGTGCTAGTTTTGTGTTAGCTGGCCTCCAGCCAGGGGGTGGCACTTTCAAGAGCACATCAGCTGTGGTAGTATATAGGCAGGATCAGGTGGTGGGTGGGGCCATGGAACTCCTACAAAAGTATGTCCTTTTTCTTCAGCTACAAGGGCCAGTAGAGAAAAACCATCAGGTGGGGACAGGGTTAGGTGCCTCTGAGCTCAGACTCTTGTTGGGCCGGGCTGGCTGTAGCTGCTGTGGGAGATGGGTGTGTGGATCCTAGGCCAATGGAGTTATATTTCCAGGGGAATCATTGCTGCCTCTGCTGTGTCACATAGGTTGCCAGGAAAGTGGGGGAAAGCTGGCAGCCACAGGCCTCACCCAGCTCCCATGCAATCCATAGCGCAAAAGGCTGGTCTCACTCTAACCGTGCCCCCACAACAGCACTGAGTTTATGTCCAGGCAGCTGGTGAGCAGGGCTAGGAACTTGCCCCAGGCTAAAAGCCTCCCAGCTGAGAAAGCAAGCCGACTGATTGTTCCTTCGCTGTCTCATGGACCCTGCAGCAGCAATCCACTTCCTTCAAAGGGTCTGTGGATTCCCTTGGCTTTCCTGGCATGTTCCTGTGGTAATTCTTGGAGCAGAAGTTCATGATGTGGGTCTCCATGCACTGCTCTCTCTGTTGAAGTGGGAGCTGCAAGTTAGTTTTGCCTCCGATTTGCCATTTTCCTGCCATCCCCAAGATGTAGTCTTTTATCCCTTACCCCGTCCAACCCATCCCTCCAAGTCCCCCAAGTTCATTGTATAACTCATGCCTTTGCATCCTCATGACTTAGTTCCCACTTATAGGTAAGAACATACAATATTTGGTTTTTAATTCCCGAGTTACCTCACTCAGAATAACGGCATTCAGCCCCATCCAAGTTGCTGCAAAAGATATTATTTTGTTCCTTTTCACGGCTGAGTAGTATTTCATGGTGTGTGTGTGTGTGTATATGTGTGTATATGTGTGTGTGTGTGTGTGTGTGTGTGTATTACATTTTCTTTATCCAGTCATTGGTCGATGGGTGCTTAAGTTGGTTCCATATCTTTGCAATTGTGAATTGTGCTGCTGTAAACATGTGTGTCCAAGTCTTTTTAACATAATGACTTCTTTCCTTTTGGGTAGATCCCCAGTAGTGGGATTGCTGGATCAAATGGTAGTTCTCCTTTTAGTTCTTTAAGGAATCTCTGAACTGTTTTCCATTGTGATTGTACTAATTTACATTCTCATGGTGATTTTATTTTACTTGCGATGGAAGCCACGGTAGTGTCTCAAGCAGGAGAGTGAAGAAAAATGATATATGTCAATTTGGATGCTCTTTGAAAAATGGATTATAGGGAGATAAGAACGGATGCAAGGAGATAAGTTCTGAGGCTTCTTCAGCTGTCTAGTAGAGAGATGATGGTGATCTTTGCTGGTGTAATGGAAATAAAGTTGGAGATAAGTGGATAGACTTAGAACATATTTTGAAAGTAGAATTGATAGGATTGGCAGAGAGGGTAGATGTTGGGTGAGGAGAAGGAAGGAATCAAGGAGACTTCTATGTTTTTGGTTCGAGCAGCTGGATGAAGGGAGTGGCATTTCCTGGGAAGAATAAAGGAATAACATGTTTTGGAGTGATGATATCTAGAATTAATTACAGATGAATAGTTGCAAGAAAAAGGATAGCATGATAAATATAATATGCCTCTTGAAATCTCTATTGATGGTTCTGCTTTCTTTACTAGGTATTAATTTGATTTTTTTTCTGTTTTTACCATTCTAAAAATTATTTAATTTTTTTTGTCATTGCATAGTAGGAGTGTACATTTTTAGGGTACATGGGATGTTTTGATAAAGGCATGCATTGTAAAATAAGCACATTGTGGAGAATGGGATATCCATTCCCTTAAGCATTTGTCCTTTGGGTTACAAACAATTCAGTTACATTCTTTATTTTAAAATATACAATTAAATTATCATTGACTATAGTCACCTTATTGTTCTATCAAATAGTAGGTCTTATTCTTTTGATTTTTTTTGACCCATTAGCCATTGCCACCTCCCTCCCCGAGTCCCCTACTACCTTAGTAGGTAATCATTTGAGATGGATACTTAGGGTTGGGCAGTGCATTCTCTGGCTTACACATGACCTGAGGACCTCATAAAAGGGGCTGTGCTCCTGGACCTTGAGCTTTCCAGTACAGCAGGGGTGTAACATCATTCATAACTAGGTTAGAATAAGCTGACCACTTCTTCAATATGTTGAAGGCCCCTCTGTATCCCTCTGTGTGATTCATTTCCCATGCAAGAGTAAACACTATCCTGAGTATTGTGATTTTTTTTAGCACTTTCATGCATTCCTTTCTATTGTTACCATATATGACAGATCCCTAGACAATACTGATTTTTTTCTAAATGACATCTAATGTATGTATTTTGCAACGTACTTTTTTTTTTTAATTTAAAGTAATCTTTCTGAGATTCCTCCTTGTGGACCTATGTAGCCCTAATTCACTTATTAGGGTTGTGTAGTATTCCATTCCACATATGTAGCACCATTTGTTTATTCATTTTCCTGCTTATGGACAGCCAGGCTCTTTCTAACTTTTTATTATTATAAGCAGTGCTTATTACAAATACTCACTTTTCCAACATCCCTCCTAACTTCCAAGCTTAAGCTAGAAATTTACAGAAGACTAATTTGAGAATGCTGTATAGCAAATATCTCCTTCTTTTCATGGATTAAATGTGGGAAAATGTCTAAGGAAATTCCTTTGCTGAAATAAGAATTTTGGTAGAGAGAAGTGGAGAAAAGTGGGTCACTGAAACTGCCATTGTTCACAGTTGTCCTAAATTATCATTAAAACAATTCCTCAGGCACCAGCCAAAGAGGTCTCTGCTGCTATCTGGCCTTTCAGGTTTGGATATGACAATGAAGGGTGGTCTAGTCTAGAAAGATCAGCTCACCTTCTCAATGAAACAGGTAAGTCTTTCTGGAATTAGCTCCAGGTTTTGAGAAACTATTATTGTTACTTTTATTTTCAGCAGGGTCATAAGCCATAACTTAACACAGGTATTAAATTAAATTTATGACCAGCAGATGGTCATAAACTCACCTCAAAAATGCTCTACTTTGGCAGGCAGCTGCAGGGGGACTGAGCTTCTGTAACCACATCTGTCTTTGTTTGAGAGCAATTAATTCAGGTGATTCTGAGCAATTCCTCATACTGAGTATCTGCAGGGGATTCGTGTTGTGTTGTTCTTAGGGATGCCCCTGCTAGTAGCTCCTGTCACCTAGGGACCCACTGCTGGGGACCAGAAAACTGTTGGATCAAAAGGCAGAATGGGTTGCAGGGAAAAGAAAGAGAGATCAGACTGTTACTGTGTCTACGTAGAAAAGGAAGACATAAGAAATTCCATTTTGATTTATACTAAGAAAATTATTTTGCCTTGAGATGCTGTTAATCTGTAACTTTAGCCCCAACCCTGTGCTCGCAGAAACATGTGATGTATGGAATCAAGATTTAAGGGATCTAGGGCTGTGCAGGATATGCCTTGTTAACAATATGTTTACAGGCAGTGTGCTTGGTAAAAGTCATCGCCATTCTCCATTCTCGATTAGCCAAGGGCACAATGCACTCTGGAAAGTCACAGGGGCCTCTGCCCAAGAAAGCCTGGGTATTGTCCAAGGTTTCCTCCCACTGAGACAGCCTGAGATATGGCCTCATGGGAAGGGAAAGACTTGCCTGTCCCCCAGCCCAACACCCATAAAAGGTCAATGCTGAGGAGGATTAGTAAAAGAGGAAGGCCTCTTGTAGTTGAGATAAGAGGAAGGCCTCCATCTCCTGCATGTCCCCGGGAACAGAATGTCTCGGTGTAAAACCCGATCATACATTCGTTCTATTCTGAGATAGGAGAAAACTGCCCTGTGGCTGGAGGTGAGATATGCTGGCAGCAATGCTGCTCTGTTACTCTTTGCTACACTGAGATGTTTGGGTGGAGAGAAGCATAAATCTGGCCTACATACACATCCGGGCACAGTACCTCCCCTTGAACTTATTTGTAACACAGATTCCTTTGCTCACATGTTTTCCTGCTGACCTTCTCCCCACTATCATCCTGTTCTCCTGCCGCATTCCCCTTGCTGAGATAGTGAAAATAGTAATCAATAAATACTCAGGGAACTCAGCGACTGGGGCCTGTGCAGGTCCTCCATATGCTGAGCACTGGTCCCCTGGGATCAGTATTCTTTCTCTATACTTTGTCTCTGTGTCTTATTTCTTTTCTCAGTCTCTCATTCCACCTTATGAAAAATGCCCACAATTGCTTCCAACAGGCCTAGGGTCAATTTGATTTTTTCAATGCTCCAGGGTGCTCATTTTTGTGTGAAGCATCTTTGAAATGTGAGAGTGTTTTTGGTTCTTAGACCAGCTACGGGTGTATGGAGCAGGATAAGTAAAGGAATAACCTGTTCTGGTTATTCTTAATGATAAGCATACCTCCTGAGAAATGTCTTAGTATCTATATGTATATAATACCACTGAGACATTTCTTTGCCCCTTAGCCCTTTTTTAGTCTGATTGCAGGCTTCCAAGGCACTCCTGGCCAAGATCTAGAAACGCCAATCAACTTAGTTCTGGGTCAGTACCATGGAGCTATCTGTCCTGGAATAAAATGCTATGGTGCACCGTTCTCTTGTTTCTGAACATAAATTGGATATTTGAGAAATGCGTTAAGATTATTTGAAATTTTAGGAATGATGTTGAGCACATTTGAAAATTTTTATCCTTCTCGGTAGTTCCTGGAGGTGTTTCACGTTTTAATTGCATTCTAAACATGGAAAAATTCCTTTAGAGCTCAGATTTGAGCCACTTCCTTCCAGTGACTTATTAAAAATTACTTTGTTTTTGGGTTAACAGTAAAGAAAAAAAGGTTAAGGGTCAAGAATAAAATGTTGCTAATTGTTTTTTGCCTTGCTGTGATTCATCACTGTATGCTACTTTTTTTTTTTTTCCCTGAACAGGTGCAGATTTCATAACAATTTTGGAGAGTGATGCTTCTAAGCCCTATATGGGGAACAATGACTTAACCATGTGGCTAGGGGAGAAGTTGGGTTTCTATACAGACTTTGGTCCAAGCACAAGGTATCACACTTGGGGGTGAGTATACACTTGAGAATTAATCCTGAAGATAGTCCTGAAAGGCTAGGCTGCATAGACTTGGAGTGGCAAGTTGATATTTTCATACCTTTGGTGAATATGCCCCAGTGATGCTTCTTGTGGGTTGAGGAGGTGCTGGAGATATGCACATTCTGTAATTTTTCAAATGGTTTTTCTATGACTGGATATTTCCAGTTCTTCACCATTATAAATCTAGGAGCTGAGGTCACAGCACCAAGCATGTCTGGCCTGGATGCTGTCCTCATGGAGCTTACTTTCCAGTGTAAGACAGAAAATCAACATGTACACACAAAAAATAAATAAGGTACTTCACAATCATAATAAGTGCTGTGTAGAAAAGAAACCACTGAGGAAGAATAACTGGGTGGGCATTGGCCGTGGGGATGCTACTATAGGCAGGGTGATCAGGAAGGTCTCTGCGAAGATGTCATTGTGAGCAGGAGCCAGGATCAGCCTTGGGAAGAGCTGAGGGAACAGTCTGGGTGAAGACTGAGGCAGGATCCATCTTGGTGTGCCTGGAGCATGGGGGGCCAAAGTGCAACTGGTAAGAAAGGAAGTCAAGGATGGGTACCCGATCATAGAGGGCTCCATTTTATCCAGTTGTGATTGGAAGCCACTGGAGGATTTTAAACAGATAGTGATCTGGAAGAACAGATTCTCAGGGACAAGAGTGGGAGCCAGGAGGCAGAAATGATAGGTGGAATAGCACAGATGAGAGATGACAATGGGAACAGCGGAGATGGTGACAAGAGGACAAACTCAGGAACTATTTTAGAATAGAGCCAACAGAACTTACAACAGTTTAGATGTCAGTGGAGGAGAAGGAAGAATCAAGGGCGATGTCTAGGTTTTTGACCTGAGTACCTGCTAAGAGATGATGCCCTTTAATGGAATGGGAACCATCAAGAAAGTTGTAGGTTTGTGTTAAGTGTGAGATACCCCAAGACAGTCAAGTCATGCCCAGTAGGCAGTTGGTTATGGCCTGGAGGGCTGAGAAGGACAGGCCAGGCTGGAGATGTACTTTCAGCTATCATCGTATAAAGACAGACCTGTCTCAGAGACTCCATGAAGGTGACAGAGAATGCATCTAGCTAGAGAAGAGAAGCCTACTAAGGACTGAGCTCTGTGGCTTAGAGTGAGGTGGAATGCCTTTTCATATGCCTATAGGACAGTTTTTCATTTCTAATTTTGTAAATTGTTACTCCATGACCTAGTTGGCAAGACTGTACCTTCCCATATGTGTTGATTAATATTATGATTGTTTACGCAAATATGTTGGCAGAGTAACTGCAAGTACAATGGGTTTTGTGTATTGTTAATGCTGCCCTTTTTGTGTGTCCATAGCTCTTATTAAAACAGAGTTGATGGTGTTTCCTTAGTGACACAGTGAGACATGCTAACTAGCAGATGAAAGGATCTGACAAGTGGACTGCCATATAAGTCTCTGCCACATTGCTTTGAATGTCTCTTGGTGGGATGTGTGCAGTGGGACACATCCCTCTTTTTTTTTTTTTTTTACTTACTTATTTATTTATTTATTTATTATTATTATACTTTAAGTTCTAGGGTACATGTGCATAACGTGCAGGTTTGTTACATATGTATATTTGTGCCATGTTGGTGTGCTGCACCCATCAGCTCGTCAGCACCCATCAACTCGTCATTTACATCAGGTATAACTCCCAATGCAATCCCTCCCCCCTCCCCCCTCCCCATGATAGGCCCCGGTGAGTGATGTTCCCCTTCCAGAGTCCAAGTGATCTCATTGTTCAGTTCCCACCTATGAGTGAGAACATGCGGTGTTTGGTTTTCTGTTCCTGCGATAGTTTGCTGAGAATGATGGTTTCCAGCTGCATCCATGTCCCTACAAAGGACACAAACTCATCCTTTTTTATGTCTGCATAGTATTCCATGGTGTATATGTGCCACATTTTCTTAATCCAGTCTGTCACTGATGGACATTTGGGTTGATTCCAAGTCTTTGCTATTGTGAATAGTGCCGCAATAAACATCCGTGTGCATGTGTCTTTATGGCAGCATGATTTATAATCCTTTGGGTATATACCCAGTAATGGGATGGCTGGGTCATATGATACATCTAGTTCTAGATCCTTGAGGAATCACCATACTGTTTTCCATAATGGTTGAACTAGTTTACAATCCCACCAACAGTGTAAAAGCGTTCCTATTTCTCCACATCCTCTCCAGCACCTGTTGTTTCCTGACTTTTTAATGATCGCCATTCTAACTGGTGTGAGACGGTATCTCATTGTGGTTTTGATTTGCATTTCTCTGATGGCCAGTGATGATGAGCATTTTTTCATGTGTCTGTTGGCTGTGTGAATGTCTTCTTTTGAGAAATGTCTGTTCATATCCTTTGCCCACTTTTTGATGGGGTTGTTTGTTTTTTTCTTGTAAATTTGTTTGAGTTCTTTGTAGGTTCTGGATATTAGCCCTTTGTCAGATGAGTAGATTGCAAAAATGTTCTTCCATTCTGTAGGTTGCCTGTTCACTCTGATGGTAGTTTCTTTTGCTGTGCAGAAGCTCTTTAGTTTAATGAGATCCCATTTGTCAATTTTGGCTTTTGCTGCCATTGCCTTTGGTGTTTTAGACATGAAGTCTTTGCCCATGCCTATGTCCTGAATGGTACTACCTAGGTTTTCTTCTAGGGTTTTTATGGTATTAGGTCTAACATTTAAGTCTCTAATCTATCTTGAATTAATTTTCATATGAGGAGTAAGGAAAGGATCCAGTTTCAGCTTTCTACTTATTTTCCCAGCACCATTTATTAAATAGGGAATCCTTTCCCCATTTCTTGTTTCTCTCAGGTTTGTCAAAGATCAGATGGCTGTAGATGTGTGGTATTATTTCTGAGGACTCGGTTCTGTTCCATTGGTCTATATCTCTGTTTTGGTACCAGTACCATGCTGTTTTGGTTACTGTAGCCTTGTAGTATAGTTTGAAGTCAGGTAGCGTGATGCCTCCAGCTTTGTTCTTTTGACTTAGGATTGTCTTGGAGATGCGGGCTCTTTTTTGGTTCCATATGAACTTTAAAGCAGTGTTTTCCAATTCTGTGAAGAAACTCATTGGTAGCTTGATGGGGATGGCATTGAATCTATAAATTACCTTGGGCAGTATGGCCATTTTCACGATATTGATTCTTCCTATCCATGAGCATGGTATGTTCTTCCATTTGTTTGTGTCCTCTTTTATTTCACTGAGCAGTGGTTTGTAGTTCTCCTTGAAGAGGTCCTTTACATCCCTTGTAAGTTGGATTCCTAGGCATTTTATTCTCTTTGAAGCAATTGTGAATGGAAGTTCATTCCTGATTTGGCTCTCTGTTTGTCTGTTACTGGTGTATAAGAATGCTTGTGATTTTTGCACATTAATTTTCTATCCTGAGACTTTGCTGAAGTTGCTTATCAGCTTAAGGAGATTTTGGGCTGAGACAATGGGGTTTTCTAAATATACAATCATGTCATCTGCAAAGAGGGATAATTTGACTTCTTCTTTTCCTAACTGAATACCCTTGATTTCTTTCTCTTGCCTGATTGCCCTAGCCAGAACTTCCAACACTATGTTGAATAGGAGTGGTGAGAGAGGGCATCCCTGTCTTGTGCCAGTTTTCAAAGGGAATTTTTCCAGTTTTTGCCCACTCAGCATGATATTGGCTGTGGGTTTGTCATAAATAGCTCTTATTATTTGGAGGTATGTTCCATCAATACCGAATTTATTGAGCGTTTTTAGCATGAAGGGCTGTTGAATTTTGTCAAAAGCCTTTTCTGCATCTATTGAGATAATCATGTGGTTCTTGTCTTTGGTTCTGTTTATATGCTGAATTATGTTTATTGATTTGCGAATGTTGAACCAGCCTTGCATCCCAGGGATGAAGCCCACTTGATCATGGTGGATAAGCTTTTTGATGTCCTGCTGAATCCGGTTTGCCAGTATTTTATTGAGGATTTTTGCATCGATGTTCATCAGCGATATTGGTCTAAAATTCTCTTTTTTTGTTGTGTCTCTGCCAGGCTTTGGTATCAGGATGATGTTGGCCTCATAAAATGAGTTAGGGAGGATTCCCTCTTTTTCTATTGATTGGAATAGTTTCAGAAGGAATGGTACCAGCTCCTCCTTGTACCTCTGGTAGAATTCAGCTGTGAATCCATCTGGTCCTGGACATTTTTTTGTTGGTAGGCTATTAATTATTGCCTCAATTTCAGAGCCTGCTATTGGTCTATTCAGGGATTCAACTTCTTCCTGCTTTAGTCTTGGAAGAGTGTAAGTGTCCAGGAAATTATCCATTTCTTCTAGATTTTCTAATTTATTTGCGTAGAGGTTTTTATAGTATTCTCTGATGGTAGTTTGTATTTCTGTGGGGTCGGTGGTGATATCCCCTTTATCATTTTTAATTGCGTCTATTTTATTCTTCTCTCTTTTCTTCTTTATTAGTCTTGCTAGCGGTCTGTCAATTTTGTTGATTTTTTCAAAAAACCAACTCCTGGATTCATTGATTTTTTGGAGGGTTTTTTGTGTCTCTATCTCCTTCAGTTTTTCTCTGATCTTAGTTATTTCTTGCCTTCCGCTAGCTTTCGAATGTGTTTGCTCTTGCTTCTCTAATTCTTTTAATTGTGATGTTAGAGTGTCAATTTTAGATCTTTCCTGCTTTCTCTTGTGGGCATTTAGTGCTATAAATTTCCCTCTACACACTGCTTTAAATGTGTCCCAGAGATTCTGGTATGTTTTATCTTTGTTCTCATTGGTTTCAAAGAACATCTTTATTTCTGCCTTCATTTCGTTATGTACCCAGTAGTCATTCAGGAGCAGGTTGTTCAGTTTCCATGTAGTTGAGTGGTTTTGATTGAGTTTCTTAGTCCTGAGTTCTAGTTTGATTGCACTATGGTCTGAGAGACAGTTTGTTATAATTTCTGGTCTTGTACATTTGCTGAGGAGTGCTTTACTTCCAATTATGTGGTCAATTTTGGAATAAGTGCGATGTGGTGCTTAGAAGAATGTATATTCTGTTGATTTGGGGTGGAGAGTTCTATAGATGTCTATGAGGTCTGCTTGCTGCAGAGATGAGTTCAATTCCTGGATATCCTTTTTAACTTTCTGTCTCGTTGATCTGTCTAATGTTGACAGTGGAGTGTTGAAGTCTCTCATTATTATTGTATGGGAGTCTAAGTCTCTTTGTAAGTCTCTAAGGACTTGCTTTATGAATCTGGGTGCTCCTGTATTGGGTGCGTATATATTTAGGATAGTTAGCTCTTCCTGTTGAATTGATCCCTTTACCATTATGTAATGGCCTTCTTTGTCTCTTTTGATCTTTGATGGTTTAAAGTCTTTTTTATCAGAGACTAGTATTGCAACCCCTGCTTTTTTTTGTTCTCCATTTGCTTGGTAGATCTTCCTCCATCCCTTTATTTTGAGCCTATGTATGTCTCTGCATGTGAGATGTGTCTTCTGAATACAGCAGACTGATGGGTCTTGACTCTTTATGCAGTTTGCCAGTCTGTGTCTTTTAATTGGAGCATTTAATCCATTTACATTTAAGGTTAATATTGTTATGTGTGAACTTGATGCTGCCATTATGATAACTGGTTATTTTGCTTGTTAGTTGATGCAGTTTCTTCCTAGCCTCGATGGTCTTTACATTTTGGCATGTTTTTGCAATGGCTGGTACCAGTTGTTCCTTTCCATGTTTAGTGCTTCCTTCAGGGCCTCTTGTAAGGCAGGCCTGGTGGTGACAAAATCTCTAAGCATTTCCTTATCTGTAAAGGATTTTATTTCTCCTTCACTTATGAAACTTAGTTTGGCTGGATATGAAATTCTGGTTTTAAAATTCTTTTTTTTTAAGAATGTTGAATATTGGCCCCCACTCTCTTCTGGCTTGTAGAGTTTCTGCCGAGAGATCTGCTGTTAGTCTGATGAGCTTCCCTTTGTGGGTAACCCGACCTTTCTCTCTGGCTGCCCTTAAGATTTTTTCCTTCATTTCAACTTTGGTGAATCTGGCAATTATGTGTCTTGGAGTTGCTCTTCTCAAGGAGTATCTTTGTGGCGTTCTCTGTATTTCCTGGATTTGAATGTTGGCCTGCCCTACTAGGTTGGGGAAGTTCTCCTGGATGATATCCTGAAGAGTGTTTTCCAACTTGGTTCCATTTTCCCCGTCACTTTCAGGCACCCCAATCAGATGTAGATTTGGTCTTTTTACATAATCCCATACTTCTTGCAGGCCTTGTTCATTTCTTTTTCTTCTTTTTTCTTTTGGTTTCTCTTCTCGCTTCATTTCATTCATTTGATCCTCAATCGCTGACACTCTTTCTTCCAGTTGATCGAGTCAGTTACTGAAGCTTGTGCATTTGTCACGTATTTCTCGTGTCATGGTTTTCATCTCTTTCATTTCGTTTATGACCTTCTCTGCATTAATTACTCTAGCTATCAATTCTTCCACTTTTTTTTCAAGATTTTTAGTTTCTTTGCGCTGGGTACGTAATTCCTCCTTTAGCTCTGAGAAGTTTGATGGACTGAAGACTTCTTCTCTCATCTCGTCAAAGTCATTCTCTGTCCAGCTTTGATCCATTGCTGGCGATGAGCTGCACTCCTTTGCCGGGGGAGATGCGCTCTTATTTTTTGAATTTCCAGCTTTTCTGCCCTGCTTTTTCCCCATCTTTGTGGTTTAATCTGCCTCTGGTCTTTGATGATGGTGACGTACTGATGGGGTTTGGTGTAGGTGTCCTTCCTGTTTGATAGTTTTCCTTCTAACAGTCAGGACCCTCAGCTGTAGGTCTGTTGGAGATTGCTTGAGGTCCACTCCAGACCCTGTTTGCCTGGGTATCAGCAGCACAGGCTGCAGAAGATAGAATATTGCTGAACAGCGACTATACGTGTCTGATTATTGCTTTGGAAGCTTCCTCTCAGGGGTGTACTCCACCCTGTGAGGTGTGGGGTGTCAGACTGCTCCTAGTGGGGGATGTCTCCCTGTTAGGCTACTCAGGGGTCAGGGACCCACTTGAGCAGGCAGTCTGTCCCTTCTCAGATCTCAACCTCCGTGTTGGGAGATCCACTGCTCTCTTCAAAGCTGTCAGACAGAGTCGTTTGCGTCTGCAGAGGTTTCTGCTGCTTTTGTTGTTGTTTAGCTGTGCCCTGTCCCCAGAGGTGGAGTCTACAGAGACAGGCAGGTTCCCTTGAGCTGCTGTGAGCTCCACCCAGTTCGAGCTTCCCAGTGGCTTTGTTTACCTACTTAAGCCTCAGCAATGGCGGGAGCCCCTCCTCCAGCCTCATGCTGCCTTGCCGTTAGATCGCAGACTGCTGTGCTAGCAATGAGGGAGGCTCCGTGGGCATGGGACCCTCCCGGCCAGGTGTGGGATATAATCTCCTGGTGTGCCTGTTTGCTTAAAGCGCAGTATTGGGGTGGGAGTTACCTGATTTTCCAGATGTTGTGTGTCTCAGTTCCCCTGGCTAGGAAAAGGGATTCCCTTCCCCCTTGCGCTTCCCAGGTGAGGCGATGCCTCGCCCTGCTTTAGCTCTTGCTGGTCGGGCTGCAGCAGCTGACCAGCACCGATTGTCTGGCACTCCCTAGGGAGATGAACCCAGTACCTCTGTTGAAAATGCAGAAATCACCGGTCTTCTGTGTCACTCGCGCTGGGAGTTGGAGACTGGAGCTGTTCCTATTCAGCCATCTTGCTCTGACACATCCCTTTTTAACACATGTACATGGTAGAGTGGGACTGACAATGATGCCCATGTCTCTTTTCATTGCAATACAGGATTATGGCTTTGTCAAGATACCCAATTGTGAAATCGGAGCATCACCTTCTTCCGTCACCAGAGGGCGAGATCGCACCAGCCATCACATTGACCGTTAACATTTCGGGCAAGCCAGTGGATTTTGTCGTGACACACTTTGGGAACCACGAGTGGGTTTCTTTGGCCTACCTAATATTACACAAATGCCAAGAAATGTCATTAACAATGTACTTTGATTTCTATGAAATCACCTTTCTCATTTTCTTCTTTTTTACCTCCCAAAGTATTTCTCCCTGTGTTGCTGGTTTTTAAAATCAGACAGAAGCATTTAAGATGCAGGCAGCTGTTAGTGCTGGTGTAGGGACGGGCCGTGTTAGTCTGCATTTACTGAGCTGTATGGTCAATTCCCTGTGCAGGGACTGTCCAAAGTGCATTACTGTGTTTGATCTTCACTCTGTGCAAGGTAAGCACTATTAGAGTCCCATTTTGCAGGTCAAGAAACTAGGCTGAGAGAGGTCAGACAACCCATCCAATGAGGAGCAAGCACAGGGTCAGGGCATAGGCAGCCCCAAACCCAGGGCTGCAAGTGCTTGCAACTACACAATAAACCACACAACAGAAAAAGAAATTCCCTTTTCCTACAGGATTACTGCTACAAATGGAAGTACTGTTGGGATTTGAGTTTATTAAATGACATCTCTTCTCTCCCTCATGTTTTCACAAACAACAGATAGGCAGAGGAATCTGGAAGAGGGAGATCTAAATATCACTTTAAATACTGATAAGCCTATTTGGACAACCTGGCTTAAGTGCCCATATGGACTTGTGAATACATCCTCAAATATATATGAAAATGACTCCCCCTAAACGGTGGGCCTACCCTGCCTGCCCTGGCAAGCTCTCTCCTTGATGGAAAGAAGAGGATGGAAAACAGCTTGTTTGCAAACTGGCAGCTTCCAAGGAGAATAGAAAAGAAGGATTTGAGACAAGCACGTAAAATTAACTTCAAGATTATTGAATTAGAAAAGTCCTCCCCAAAAGTAAAGAATGGGGAGAGAGGCCAATGGTGGTTTTCTAAGGAAGTCCCTCTACAAGCAACATGAAGAGTGAGGAATGAGTTTTACCACCAAAGAATAACATTTACAACCAGTGACAGTACTGAATAAATCATGAATAATCCCAGCAATATATTGTAAAAGCAAACATAAAAGTATATAACTTATACTCTACCATACCAAACCACAATAATTTAAACATGAATGTAAAGAGTTATGTGCTATGACATTCACATGCAAGCTTTGCCTGCATTAATGACACAAGAGGCCACAGAACTTTAAAGTGACATACTTTTGGAAAACAACATTATTGTACTATGTTTTATTTAAACAAATTGATGTGTCTGCCACTCTTATTTCCCTGGTTACCTCACTGTTTCTAATACTATTATGTGAATCTGTGAAAGCATATTTGAATATTTTCTTAAATAGGTCAGATAATAAATAATATAAATAAACCTTCCAAATATAATTAATATGAACCATTCATGAACCAGACTCTTGCTTACCTCCTTAGAAATAAGAGGAGTGTTTGGAGGATGGATGATATAGATGGTTCGTATCTCTTAAAAAAGCTGTTTGAAGAAATGCTTTCTGTTCCTCCCAGTGATTTTCATGTAGGAAGTACAGACATTCAGAAATCATTCCCATGACCTTATGTTGTACTTAACATTGGGTTTATCTTTTTTTAAAAAAGGTACTTTCTTGTTTAAAGGTTGCAAGTTCTCAACCTAAGAAACAGTTGAACTCCTTCCATTTTTCCTTTGCCTTTTTCCCCCGTCCCCTTTAACTCTCTCCAATATATCCCAAAATGTGAAGAATAGGTTTGAAAAGGAAGAGAAAGCTAAAAGAGAGCCCTAGGAATGCGCTTGAAAAAGAGGAGGGAAGGATTGCCTTTTCTCACTTTCTGTTAACCACATACTTAAAGTTCTCTGGATAACACCATATCCTTTACTTGCTGTCTTGCTCATTTGATTCAATAATAATGACAACAACAATAGCAGTAACAATAATAGTGAACACATATTGAGGATACATAACTCCAGGGATGAAGGCAGTGTAGTTTAATGATTAAGAGCATGGGATTCCAGAACCTGGAATCAGACAATCCGGTTTGAATCCTAATTCTTTAACTAGTTGTGTATCCTTTGCTGAGTTACTTAACTACCTCAAGCTTTAATTTTCTCAACTGCAAATCAGGGGCAATAATCCTACCTATTTCGTGGGGTTCTTGTGCCCATAGTACCTCATACAATGTACATGAATGTAGTAAGTGCTCAATTAACATGGCCGTTACTAAACCAAATCAGACAACTATGAATATAAGGTATATTGGGCAGCTTAAAAAATAATTCATTTATCAAACATGAATCAAGCATCTGACATGTCCCACGCACATGACTAGACTTTGTCTTTGCTTTAGGAACCACTGCTCTGAGCCACCCCCCAGAATTACTGTCTAGTACACTGTAGCCTCCCCAAAAGTGACATAGGAAAGTTAACACCTTGAATAATTTGTGACGCGATCACTGCATGTTTTATTTGTCTTTGTTTTCTACAGTACTAAATACACAAATTCTTACTGTGAAAAAATATTTAGAGATTTCATTTTCCAGTGATTATGGCATATAAATGTGAAAATCCTATTAGGAATGAATAATTCCTAATGCTTGTGCATGTTATTAGCTGATTCAAAAGATTTTAAAAAGTACTGACTACATAAGTACATCTTTTATAACCACTAAATAGGAAATGGCAGCATTTTTTAGAAGTCACACAGGCAAACACCCTAACGAAAATTGATATTATTTTAGGTAATTAACTGAGCCACTAATCGCCATTTAAAGAAATCTATAACATGCATCATAAACAAAGAGGAGAGAACACAGAATCCATAGTCTGACACTATGTGACAAAGAACCAAAACTGTGTTCTAGGTTTCGTTCCATTGCAGGTAAACCTTGGTAAGTTCCAGTTCTCGTGTCTCTGAAAATGGGATAAAATTCCCTTTTCCAGCTTACTTTATAGGGTTATTGGACTGACAAAATATTAACAGATAAGAAAACATAAAGCATATGTGAGCTCTGTCTCTTTCTTTCTGTCTTGCCCTCTTTCCTTATACACATATATATACTTTTAACTTTTATTACTCTCACTAGGTAAGATTTATCTCCAGAGAAAATGTAAAACCAAATTCACAGATTACTTCCAGTTAGATGTTACTAAAATATGTTGGATTGAAAACACTTCCTGTGGTTCAGTGGCTTTGGAATTTTCTAGACCTGAATTTGAATCCTAGTTGTAGGTATCAGATGGAACAGAATTCCCTGCAGACCTAATGAAAGAACTACTTAACAAGATGCTGGAGGGACCCATGGAACAAATAAGAGAGGCCGAGGCACTCAGACACCCATAACAGTGCCTGCCTTAGGGCTGAAGGAATAGGCAGAGAAAACAGTGTTCCCAGAGCCCAGTGAGACCCAGAACCAGGACAAGGGACCACCTAGCATAGAATGCAGCTACTGCCAGAGGGACTGGGGAAGGAATCCCAGAATGTTGCTTTTCTCCCACATTTTAATCTCCTGTGGTGCCTCCAATTGGCCAAACCTAACTTGAAACCAGGAGAGAAGGAAGTCCAGGAGGTGAAATCTGCAGGGGTCAGCCTCCCAGGGCATAGAGAAAGACAGAGGATGAATGTGGGCAGGGGAGATGAAGAATAACCATAGGCATATTAGCCTCATTTGAAAATAGAGCTACCACCTGCCTTCTGTTGTGAGAATTCAGTAGCAAAGGGGTTTAACAAATGGCCATTCTTTTCACTCTTTTATTTCTTGAGACATCTTTTAATAGCCCTCAGCTGTCTACACAAATTTATCCAACTCAGTCCTGTCTTGAGATCCTAACTCAACAAGGTTTCTCCAGTCTTCTCAGTGCTTGGTGATCTTCTATTTTCTTTGTCATTTTCTACCTTAACACTCATGTATTAGCTACCTTTCTATGTAAATACCCTGTTTGTCTACTTCCTATCTGTTCTGGGCTCCATTCCTTGCTCTTACTCTCAGCTATGCATTGCAGAGAACTGCATTTCTCACAGTCCCTTGCCTTCTGGCTTCCGGGTAGGTTTAGCCAATGGGAGGCACTAGTGCAAGGTTGGAGGGAGTAGAGAAGAGAGTGTATTTCTCTCCTTCTCTCTCTGCTTCCTCTGGTGTCTATGGGAGGAGTTGAGTCTCTTCTGTGGCTCCAGTTCTTCTCTGAATGGTCCCAGTTCCTCTGGGAAGCCTCCTCCATTGATACATCTCCCACTAGTCAGTGCTGGCTTCTGGACTCTGATAATATCACCTCCTCTTGTTTTCCCTGTAGCTGTAGAGGTGGTACTGGTTTCTTATTGTTGTTAATCTCTGATTGCATAATTGACTCCTATCTGGCTAACCAATTCCCTATATTAAATTCACTTTGTTTGAAACATCTAGGGTGTTTCTGTTTTCCTGGCTGGATCATGTAAAATATGATGTCCTATTTTCCCCCAAACAGACTGACTCTAAACTCCCCAGGAGCTAGATGTACCCACCTAAGTATCTCAGTTATAGGTTTACAGTGCTTAGCATAATAAAAGCACCATGTTTGGCCGGTGTTTGAGCAGGAGAGTTAAGAAGGCTTTCAGAAAGTGTTCAGTTGGGCTGGGCAGTGGGTCACGCCTGTAATCTCAGTATTTTGGGAAACAAGGTGGGTGGATTGCTTGAGGCCAGGAGTTCAAGACCAGCTTGCCCAACATGGAAAACCCTGTCTCTACTAAAAATACAAAAATTAAGTCGTGCATGGTGGTGTGTGCCTGTCATGCCAGCTACTCAGGAAGCTGAGGCAGGAGAATTGCATGAACCCAGGAGGTGGAGGTTCCAGTGAGCTGAGATTGTGCCATTGCACTCCAACCCATGTGACAGTGTGAGACTCCGTCTCACAAAAAAAAAAAAAAAAAAAAAAAAAAGTAGTGTTCAGTTGAAGGAGCTTAGGTTACATAAGCCTGATGGGCTCTGCAAATGTCAGGATTCTTCATCTTACCAGTATTCTTGGCTCTTTTTACTTTTTTAAACTACTAGTTCTTTAGCTGTAATACTGATGGTGAGTTCTCACATTATTGATTTAATTTCTTCTGATGAAAAGTTGAACAAATGCTGTATTCAGAGTTGATCTTTAAATTGACTGGACTCCAAATGATTTGTGAAGAAAGGTCATGTTCTCAGCCAAATGTCTGTCTGCCTACTCATTTGAAGCACTGTATCTATGTCTTGTTCATTTGTATAACATTAAGACATTTGCCCGAGTAGGAACGACTCTGGGCTTGTTCACTATGTGCAGATCATCTCTGAGGTAACTAAGACTTTTTAAAGATTGTTTTACAAATACTATAAAGGGTCATATTTTTACATTTTTTAGAGATGACCTCGACAGGAAACTGCAGGCTATTGCTGTTTCAAAACTACTGAAAAGTAGCTCAAATCAAGTGATATTTCTGGGATATATCACTTCAGCACCTGGCTCCAGAGATTACCTACAGCTCACTGAACATGGCAATGTGAAGGTAACATAATCTTAATAGGATTTATAATTTATTAAGTAAAATACTTCTTTTTCTTTCATGTTTTTAAAAAAATCAACCTCACCTAACAATTTAATGCGCAGTCTGAGTATCTACTGCTGCATAGAAAATCACCACAAAACATACGAGCTTAAAACAGCAGCAATCTTCTATTTGCTCATAAATCTGCAATGCGGACAGGGCTCAATGGGGGTAGCTCATCTCTGTCCCATGCAGGGTCAGCTAGGTGGCTCAACCAAGGACTAGAGGATCTACTTCACAGTAGATTTATACGTCGCAAGTTGTGCTTTAGGCTTGGGACCCTGGTTCCTCGCCATGGGCTACTTGGGCTTCCTTCCTGCATGTTGGCTGACTTTCAATAATGAGTATCCCTAGAGAACCAGAAAAAGCCTATATTGCTTTGTATGGCATAGCTTTATAAGTCATATACTGTTACTCCCGGTGTCATCACAAGTCTGATCACATTAAACTCTTGATGGGAGGAATATAAAAACCACATGATAAGCATACTAATGGGAAGTGAGATTTTATTGTAGCCATGTTTAGAAAACACAATCTGCCACATTATGAAAGTTAATTATGGGTTTGGGCATGATGGCTCATGCCTGTAATTCTAGCACTTTGGTAGGCCGAGGCGGGCGGATCACGAGGTCAGGAGATTGAGACCATCCTGGCTAACACGGTGAAACCCTGTCTCTACTAAAAATACAAAAATTAGCCAGGCGTGGTGATGGGTGCCTATAGTCCCAGCTACTCGGGAGGCTGAGGCAGAAGAATGGCATGAACCTGAGAGGTGGAGCTTGCAGTGAGCCGAGATTGCACCACTGCACTCCAGCCTGGGCGACAGAGTAAGACTCCGTCTCAAAAAAATGTAAATAAATAAATAAATAAAATAAAAAAGAAAGTTAATTATGGCATTGAGAGTAAAAGACAAAATGAAATGTCTCATAGAGAGAATGGCTAATCAGCCAACAGGGCCACAGCAGATGACACTGAATTACTCTACATTTTCAGGTCTAAAACACTTGAATTTGTCAGTGTACCAGAATATAATAATGTTCTGGGGAACTGCCACACAAATAAATTCCCAGAAGATTGATATATATATATATATATGATATATATATGATATATAATATATATATGATATATATATGATATATAATATATATATGATATATATGATATATATATGATATATGATATATATATATACTATAATGCCAAATGAATTAATTTAGAATGCGAAATATGATTGTTATATTTAGTTATGCCCTAGGCAGATGTCTTGGTTCCTTTCATTCTATCTCATGTCTTGAGATAATATCTGCAGAGAAAAAAGCTTATCCATCTTATGTTGATTTTACTACTTAAATCTTCTTAGGGTGTAACATTATTTACAGAGCTTGGAAGACAGGTGAAAGAGAGCATGGCATGATGAGAGTTATCTGCATGTGACAGAAAATAACAGAGATCATATTTCTTTATGTAAAAGTCTGGGCAGGTGAATCAGCACTGGAATGGCACTCGGTGGTGTTTGGAATCTGTGTTCTATCGTGTGCTTCCATTTGACAAGGCCTATATTTCCAAACAGCAGCCTTTAGGTTGTAGCTAGCAGGATAGAGGAAGGGATAAAGAAGGGGCCAAGAGCATATGCCAGTCCCTTCTAAAGGCAAAACCCAGAAACTGATCTCTAACACTTCTACTTATATTTCACTGACATAAATTTAGTCTAATGGACATACCTTGCTGTACAGAAAGTTGAGAGGTGCAATGTTTAGTCCTGATGGCCATATTCACAGCTAAAAATACTATGATTTTGGAAGAAGGGCAAGGCAGATATTAGGAAGATGATTTAGTCTCTGCATTTTTTTGGATAGGCAGAAATTAGAGTGTTAAAACAACAGCGGTCATCTATTTGCTCACGAATCTGGAGTTCGGACAGGGCTCAATGAGGATAGCTCATGTCTGCTCCATGCAGGATCAGCTAGGAGGGTCAACTAGGGACTGGAGGATCTACTCAGTAGATAATTCACAGGTGGCAAATTGGTGCTTTGGCCTGGGGACCCGGGTTCCTCACCATGGGCTACTTGGGCTTCCTCTCTTCCTTGCAGCTGGCTTCCAATAGTGAGTATCCCAAGAGAAAAATAAAAAGCCTATATTGCCTTGTATGACTTAGCCTTGGAGCCACAGGTGGATCCTTGATTTCTGACTCTGGCCAGAGGGATTATGATACTGACGTTTATTTTTGTAGAGAATACAAAAGGAAGAAACGTTTTACAAAGAAGATAAGTTCAGCTTTGGGCTGAGTTTGAGGCATCTGTGGAACATTAATAGAGATGTCCAATAGGCAGGTGCATATACAGATCTGGAATTCAGCAGGGCAGTGAGAACTAGAGTTATAGATTAAGGGGTGGCCACCATGTAGGGAAGCGTTGAAGCCGTGGAAGTGGGTGATATTGCTAGTAATTAGAGAAGTGCAAATTAGAGTGCTAGAATTAGAGAAGTGCAAAAGGAAGACCAAATAAAGCCCCAATGAAGCCACATTGAATGTGGCCATCATAGGGGTGTAGGTGAAGGAAGAGAAGACCGATTATTTCAGGAAAGGGAGTAAGGAGAGTTCAGAAGAGGAAAACCTGGAAAGTGTGTACTCACAGAGACTGTATCAGTTGTTTATCACTATGTAACAAACCACCTCTATGTAACAAACCACCTCAAAACATAGTGACTTAAAACTGTAACAACTGAATATTCTCATGATTCTTTGGGTTGACTGGGTGGTTTTCTGTTCTTGCCTGGGTTCTCCTGTGTAGTCAGCTGATGGCTTACTTATGGCAGGAGGGTCTAAGATAGCCCCACACATGTGTCTGGGCCCTGGTGCTGGACCTCTCTCTCTTCTCATGGTCTGTCATTATTTATTAGCCTAGATGATGCTGCATTTACCAGCTGTGTGACCTTGGGGCGAGTTACTTAGCCTTTCTGGGCCTCAAGTTCCATATCTGAAATGTGGTGAGAGCGGTATCTGTGGAATCATAGGGTTGTTTGAAAATGAAATAGAAGATAACGTCTGCAAAGCCCTCAGACTTACATGACATATATTATGTGTGTCTGGCTGTATGTCAAAAATAAAATAAGAGAAATGTGTAAGTATATGGTCTATAAATCACAAAGGAATATTAGACAAGATGAAATTTGGCAAGTCTAAGTAAAAATTGCATCCTAATGAGGGCATTCTTACATTGTGTGTGTGCATGTGCATGTGTGTGTGAAGGATATACATGGTGTTAAGAAGAATTTGATTTGATTTTCATCTAATCCTCTCTTGATTTCCACTGTCGTGGTCAAAAGCTGTGTCAAAATTAATGGTGGATTCTTATATTGCTTTCTTTAGGGGGAAGTTTATTAATGTGGAGAAGAGTTTTAATCATTAATGCTTGGACGAACAGATTTTTCTCTTAAAGAAATGAGTATTTAAATCCTGCAGTATTAAAACTTTACAGCATCTTTATTTTTTTATTTTTTTTGCAAGACTTACAGCATCTTTAAAAAATCGAATAAACAAAATGATAGTTAAATAGATTTATTGTTTATTATTCCCCATACTACAGCTAAAGTTTTCTATTTTCCCAAGACAAACCAGAACAGTGCTTCTTTATTTTCTTCATTAACATTTTAAATTTAATTTAAAAAATTTATTATAATTTTTATGTATACAAAAGGTATATGCATGTGTGTACTCTAAACAACAATAAAGGTTGATTAATAGACATCTATGTGTCTACCACTAAGCTTAAGAAAAAAATAAAGAATTATATAATAAATGGTGGTGTATTCTTTTAGTGATTTAAAAATGTGTTTTTAATTAAATGTTAACAGTAAAATTCAGAAGTGGTGAAGAGTCAGGAATATTTTTTATATATAAGGTATTTAAAAAGAAGAAAATGGAGATTTCTTTCTTCAGAATAAATGCCTCATATTTATAGTTTCCCAACACATGATAGAAAAGAATATGTTTCTGTTCTCTTTCTTTGATGAATAATAACCCTGGTCCCAAGCTCTCAACATCAAAAAGACTCATGATTGCTCCCCAAATGTTCTTATTTCCATGATTCAATTTAACAAACACAGATGGAGCACCTGCTCAACACCAGGTTTTATGCTAAGTGCCAAGTGGCCAAAAGTGATTAAGAGTCCCTCTGTGCAGGAGTGGGAGGATGGAGACATAGAAACAGATACCTGGCATGATGGCATAGCTAGTGTGTGTAAAGTACTATACAGGATGACCAATGAAGGTGCGGTCAGTGCTGTTGGGGATGAGAGGCTTGGAAAGCTGCCAGGAGCCAGGGTCTGTGTTGTAATCGCTGATTTACCTAAGTCACTCTCCAGACCTCCTTCCTCTTTGTTTTCTCAGCATGTAGTACAGAAGCTAGTTGGGCACATAGCAGGTGCTCAATAAATATATGTAGAATGAGCAAATAATTTGGACCAAAAAAGATCAGTAGGAGCCAGGAAGAGAAAACAGCATGTACAAAGAGATATTTATCATGTAGGTAACACATTTTTTGGCAATGTGGAATAGAGCTTTGTTTTTTATGTTTTAAACATTCTCCTCTCTGCTCTTTACTAGGATATTGACAGCACTGATCATGACAGATGGTGTGAATACATTATGTATCGAGGACTGATAAGGTGAGCACAGGGGTTTGATTTTGTTTTTAATCTATTATTGCTGCAATCTTTTGGGTCTATCTGAGAAGAAAAAACAACTTTATGGAAGCAATTAATTTTTGTTGCTTTTTATAAACATTGATTTGACTATACAGTTTAACATCTTTTTCAAGGCATAGTCTCATAATTTACAAAAGTAGAAATAGCTTAGCAAATTAAGCTTAATTGTGTAAGAGGATACTGTGTAGGCTATTAAGCAAGGTGAATATGTAACTGTCAACACATGTGAGGAATGGCACCATTTTTGAATGTATGGTTTAGTGGAAACATCATAGACCATTGGATGAGAAAGTCCTGGGCTTGAGTTCCAGGCTTGCCAGCTTCTAATCAATAATCCTGGGTAAGTTAACTAATTTGATGGGGCCATTACTATACTGTAGTGAGATCTCTAGATAAATTATATTAAAAAATCATTCCACATAAAAATATAATCCAAGTATATCATATACATGCATATGTGTGTGTATGATATACTTGGATAATATATATTTGGATACATACAGTCATGTGCTGCTTAATGATATCTTCAGTCAACAACAGACCACATCTACAATGATAGTTTATAAGATATAATATCATACTTTTACTGTACCTTTTCTATGTTTAGATACACAAATACCATGGTATTACAGTTGTCTACAATATTCAGTACAGTCACATGCAGTACAGGTTTGTAGCCTAGGAGCAATAGGCCATACCATATAGCTTAGGTGTGTAGTAGGCTATACCATCCAGGCTGGTATAAGTGTGCTCTATGGTGTCCACACAATGATGAAACCACCTATGACACATTTCTTAGAATGTATTCTTGTTGTTAAGTGACACATGACTGTATACATACATATGTGATCCAAAATAATACAGCTGAGATTTTAAAATTCAAATATGTAACCATACAAATCAGTTTTGAAGGCAGTATTTGTATCAATAAAGCAAGGAGCAGTTTAATACCAAAAAAGAGGGACTAACCATTCATTCATTCATTCATTCATTCATTCATTCATTTATCCAATAAGTATTTTCTAAATCCTCTTTATGTACTGGGTATTGTTCTCAGGAGTGGGAATACAATAGGAAAAAAACAAAATCCTTGACTGTCATAGAACTTACATTGCAATGGAAGGAGACATAAAATAAGCAGACAAGAAATGACAGGCTATGACAGGTGGAGATACGCATGGTGAAAGAAAAATAATAAATCCAGGTGAGAAGGTAGGGTGTGCTGGGGGTGGCTGTGGTAGGTTATAAAGAGTGGGCAGGGTATGCTGGAGTGACTTCTGGGCAGCACCTCAAGTGGAAAGAGGGACCCCACCTGTGTATACCCTGAGGAAGAGCACTTCAGGCAGGGGAGGCAGGGAAAGTTTGAGAGGAGGATGCTGGACGTTGTGGGGCAAGATCGAGAAGGCCAGTGAGGCAGGAGTAGAGTGACAGAAGTGATGTGAGTATGGCAGGTGGTAGTAGATGATGTACACAGTGGGTCGATTCAGAGGTTCCTCTACATACAAACTTCTTCCACAGAGGGAACATGCTGGAGACCTTCCCTGAAACACTCAAGGGTTCTCCTGTTAGGACGGAATCTGTCTGGAGATATTTGATTTGAGCCCCCTAACTGCCATCCTGGGGACAATGTGGGGAGCCCTGGTGTGGGCTCCTAGGACAGACTTCTCTGACCCTTAGTCTCTTTTCCATATAGAGCAGTTCATCACCCAAAGGCATCTTGGCATCGCCTGCCTAAAGATAGGGGCCGACATTAATGGATCACTCTTTAAATAACCTTATCTTCTAAGATCTGTGGCCTACATTTATGAGAGAAAATAGTTGCTTTCTGGGATGGTATAGAATCATGGAGTCAGCTCCTCTCCCAGTGGGGATATGGCTTGTTCGGTTATAAGTTACAGTCCAGTGAAAGCAAATTGTTAGTTTCTCTTGCTCTAGACCCCATTTGCCATTCAACAAGTATTGATCTAGCAGAATGGATGCCAGGCAATAGGGATAAAGCTGTAAACAAAACAGAGAAGGATCCCTATGCTGGTGGAAGGAGGACAGACAAAAATCATGATAAATAATTCCTGGATGATCTATTTTAGAAGATGACGAGGGTAGTGGGAAAAACTAAGCAGAGGAAGGAGCTTCCAGAATATAGAGGTGGGGTGCGATTGTAAGTAGGGAACTGGGTAGGTCTTACTGAGAAGATGACATTTCAACCAAGATTGCAAAGAGGGAGCCATTTGGCCACCTGGCAGAAGATACTTCCTGGTAGAGGGCTGAGCTAGTGCAAAGACCCCAATGCAGGAGTGCTGCATGTGTTTGAGGAAAAGTGAGGCTAGTGTGGCTGGAAAGGGTTGGGTTGGAGTGGGGTGAGGGGCAGTGAGGAGGGAAGGAGAGAGTGTGTGGGCAGGCAGGGAAGAGAAAAAATCTTGTAAGGATCTGTGAATCCTTAGTAAGCACTTTGGACATTACTTAGTAAAATAGTGACCTTTGCTGGTTCTTGGACAACTCCATGGAGCCATATGCTTACTGAGGTGGGCCAAGGAGGCCCTTGAGATGCTAAGATTGTTTCGGTTATGCCACTAACTCAGAAACTCTAAAAGGCACATCACATGCCCAAATAGCTGTGGAATAGATAGCTTGACTATAATTTGGTGTTTCCAAAGTGTTACAGTAGGACTGAAGGTGCTGAAGGGTGAGTTTTGTATGGTATTTTATATCTAAGATTGAAAACACTGTTTCTGTTTAAATATTTGTTAAAGCAATTGTTTAAATGAGATATCAGAAATTCTAGAAAACGTCTTTTCATATAGGCTGAAATAGGTATAATTTCAAGTTGTAAAAAATGTTGGGAACCAAGGAACAGTGGTATTTATAGTAACTGGTGCCCATAATAGCTCATTGTTGGGCTCTGAAACCTTTATTACCTCTCCTTAGGAGAATGGGATGGCAGAGTATATATATATAAAGTATATATGAAAATATGATATCATATATAATATATATTTATTTATATATGAATTTAATACTCTGTGACATAACAAAATACCATAGACTGGATGGTCTAAACAACAGAAATTAATTTTCTTTCTGTTCTGTAGATTCTAAGACCAAGATTAAGGTGCCAGCAGAGTTGGCGTCTGGTGAGGACTGTCCCCTTGGGTTGCAGATAACTGTCTTCTTGCCATGTGCCCTCATGGCCTTTCCTTGGGTTGTGCCTGTAGAGAGAGAGTGAGCTCTCTGGTGTCTCCTCTTATAAAGTCATTAATCCTGTAGGATCAGGCCTCCCCACTCATGACCTCATTTCACGTTAATTATTTCCTAGGAAGACCCATCTCCAAATACAGCCACACTGGGGGTTAGAGCTTCAACAAATGAATTTTGGGGGAATACAAAATAGGAAGATGATTTAAAAAATTCCCATATTAATGAAGTTAGGAACTAGGGTTTTTCAGTTTCTCTCCACAAAACTAATTTTGTAAGCTTTCATCTCAATCACCAAGTTCAATGCCCTACATGTAGTAGGTAGTAAGAGCTTAATGAATACTTATTGGACAATAATGGGAGATCCTCTGCTTTAATGGAAGATTTGGATTGTCAGATTCCTCAGTTTCAAGACTTTTGTTGTATCTTTGAAGGCAGTGTCTGTTAAATGGGTTAGAACTTTGATCTTAGAGTTGGGAATAAATAACCTAGATTTACTAAAGACAGTAACCTAGAATTAGACAAAAGTGCACAGATTTAGGACTTGAGCCCAGACAATGCATTAAGCTGCCTGACAGCTCAGAGCTTCATCTGATGTTCAGTCACAGCTCTGCTTACCTTTCCCAGTGGGCAGACTTGCTGTCTCTGCTGGTCCCGCTCTGGGTTTCCGTTTCTATTTTGCATGGAGTTACAGGCATGTGGTTATAGGCTTTGTTTTACGTGCTTCTCTTCTCCTGCCACTCAGGTCCAAGCTCCCATCATCTTTTACCTAAGTTATTGCAGTGGCTTCATAACTTGTCTCCCTGCTTTGATCCTTTCCCTGAAGGTGATTGTCTACCTGGTAGCTGTCACAGACCTCTGCTTCAAACCCTTCTGATGGATTCTCATCTCACTCTCAAAAACAAAAACAACAACAACAACAAAAGAAATCTGAGGTCCTCATAGTGGCCTGTGAGGAAGGCTTTGCATGTTCCCTTTTATGCACTTCACTCCAGTCATGGTGGAGTTGGCCCCCAAAACACCAAGCATATTTCCACCTCAGGACTTTTGCATTTGCTGTTCCCCTTCCCTAAACACCATTTCTCCAGGATCTCTATGGCTTGATCCCTCTCTTCATTGAATTTTTGCTCTAGTGTCACTTTATTGCAAAGGTATGCCCTGACCATCCACCATAAGATACCAACCTCTGCTGCTTATCACTGCCTGTTATCCTTACTCTGCATTCACCCCAATACTTACTTATCTATCACTACTTGACTGATTGTAAACATACATATGTGTTTAATGCATCCTTCCCTACTAGAATGAAAGTTCCATGAGGGCAAGACTTCATTTTATTCGTGACTTATTCCCCAACACCCAGAACAGTGCTTGCATGTGGTAGGCACTCCATATATATACATATGTGCTTCATTGAATAAATGAATGACTGAAGCTGACCTAAGTCTTTTTTTCTGGAAGAGCACGATGTAATAAAATAAAATGAATTCTTTGTTGTTAATGGTTCCCCCTGTTTTCCATGTGAGCTTCTCAAATAAGAACTCTTTGTATAATGTCTACAAAGTACTTTGAATTTCCCCAGGAATTGAAAGCTCTCAGCCAAAATAGGATATGGATTTTTTTTCACATATATAAAAATCTTTGATTTTAGACTTGAAATTTGGCTGAAAATATTCATGTGGCATTTGTATTTTTAAAGGTAAGAAAAAATTTAGGCAAACACCCCTGTCATTCTGAAGAATTCCTGTTATTAGCTCAAAACATGATTGTATGGGAGGCAATTTGCATGGCTAGAATATTCATTAGTATAAAAAAAGTAAAGTAAGTTGCTAAGAATAGTTAATTAAATCTATATACATATTCTTTATTCATTTATATCATATAAGCAATATTTTGCCAATATTTAGATTAACAATTTAACTTAATTCCAGTTGTGATATTCAGAGTAGAGTCAGAAGTGGGAAACTGGCTTAATAACAAAGGTGGTATCACTTGGAGCTCATTAGATTTCCATGTAATAATAAAACCTTTACAAATAATTTCTGTTTCTGCTACAGGTTGGGTTATGCAAGAATCTCCCATGCTGAACTGAGTGATTCAGAAATTCAGATGGCAAAATTTAGGATCCCTGATGACCCCACTAATTTTAGAGACAATCAGAAAGTGGTCGTAGACCACAGAGAAGTTCCCAAGAAAATTCATTTTAATCCCAGGTGAGTTCCTTTATGTTGTAGTTCAGTTATAAGCTACCACATCCCTCTATGGAACCTACATATTCCCTCAAAATGAGCTAAAAATTATATCTTCTCCTAGAGGTTTATTCGGGGTAAGGGAGCCTGTGACAAAGATGATAAAATCTGGTTGGGGTTGAAGTTATGGTGCTTGCTTTCTGGAATCAAGAAATATGTTGTAACCTCAGGTTAAAAAAGCTAACATTATCATCATCACCATCATCATAACTGCCACCCCCACAATAGCTAGTATTTGAATGCTCCTATGTCCCAGACCCTATTATAGGTGCTTTTTGTGTTATCTCAATTAATCCTTATTGGCTGGTCCTCTTATTATCCCTGTTTAATAGATGAGGAAGCTCAAGCTTAAAAACATGAAGTAACTTCACTGGGGTCACATGGCCAGTCAGTGATGGAACTAATAAGTGGGGAGAAAGCCTGTTAGCATCATTGGGTTGATGGGATTCTCAACTCTGGCTGCACATTAGATTCACCTGGACAGCTTTTGAAGAATACCACTGCCTGTTGCAATCTCAGTCTCTGATAAAACAGATGTTAAACCAACAAAGTTCAAAAGAGACAAAGAAGGCCATTACATAATTGTAAAGGGATCAATTCAACAAGAAGAGATAACTATCCTAAATATGCACCCAATACAGGAGCACCCAGATTCATAAAGCAAGTCCTTGGAGACCTACAAAGAGACTTAGACTCCCACACAATAATAATTGGAGACTTTAACACCCCACTATCAACATTAGACAGATCAACAAGACAGAAAGTTAACAAGGATATCCAGGAATTGAACTCAACTCTGCAACAAGCGGACCTAACAGACATCTACAGAACTCTCCACCCCAAATCAACAGACTATACATTCTCCTCAGCACCACATTGCACTTATTCAAAAATTGACCACATAGTTGGAAGTAAAGCACTCCTCAGCAAATGTAAAAGACCAGAAATCATAGCAAACTGTCTCTCAGATCACAGTGCAATCAAACTAGAACTCAGGATTAAGAAACTCAATCAAAACCGCTCAACTACATGGAAACTGAACAACCTGCTCCTGAATGACTACTGGGTACATAATGAAATGAAGGCAGAAATAAAGATGTTCTTTGAAACCAATGAGAACAAAGACACAACATATCAGAATCTCTGGGACACATTTAAAGCAGTGTGTAGAGGGAAACTTTTAGCACTGAAGGCCCACAAGAGAAAGCAGGAAAGATCTAAAACTGACACCCTAACATCACAATTAAAAGAACTAGAGAAGCAAGAGCAAACACATTCGAAAGCTAGCAGAAGGCAAGAAATAACTAAGATCAGAGCAGAACTGAAGGAGATAGAGACACAAAAAAATCCTTCAAAAAAATCAATGAATCCAGGAGCTGGCTTTTTGAAAAGATCAACAAGATTGATAGACCAAAATGGAGATCTGGAGCAAGATGGCCGAATAGGAACAGCTCCAGCCTCCAGCTCCCAATGCGAATGACACAGAAGAAGGGTGATTTCTGCATTTTCAACTGAGGTACCGGGTTCATCTCACTGAGGAGTGCTGGACAATCGGTGCTGGTCAGCTGGTGCAGCCCGACCAGCAACAGCTGAAGCAGGACAAGGCATCACCTCACCTGGGAGGTGCAAGGGGGAAGGGAATCCCTTTAGAAATGGAGACACACAACACCTGGAAAATCGGGCAACTCCCACCCTAATACTGTGCTTTACCAAAGGTCTTAGCAAATGGCACAGCAGGAGATTATATACCACACCTGGCCAGGAGGGTCCCACGCCCACGGAGCCTCCCTAATTGCCAGCACAGCAGTCTGAGATCTAACTACAAGGCAGCAGCGAGGCTGGGGGAGGGGTGCCAGCCATTGCTGAGACTTAAGTAGGTAAACAAAACCTCTGGGAAGCTCGAACTGGGTGGAGCCCACTGCAAGTCAAGGAGGCCTGCCTGTCTCTGCCTGTTTCTGCCTGTCTCTGCCTGTCTCTGCCTGTCTCTGTAGACTCCACCTCTGGGGACAGGGCACAGTGAAACAAAAAGCAGCAAAAACCTCTGCAGATGTTAATGACCCTGTCTGACAGCTTTGAAGAGCAGTGGATCTCCCAGCACAGAGGTTGAGATCTGAGAACGGACAGACTGCCTGCTCAAGGGGGTCCCTGACCCCTGAGTAGCCTAACTGGGGGACATCCCCCTCTAGGTGCAGACCAACACCTCACACCTCAAAAGGTGGGGTACACCCCCGAGACTAAGCTTCCTGAGCAAGAATCAGAAAGCAGCACTCACTATTCAGCAATATTCAATCTTCTGCAGCCTCCGCTGCTGATACCCAGGCAAACAGGGTCTGGAGTGGACCTCAAGCAATCTCCAACAGACCTACAGCTGAGGGCCCTGACAAGTAGAATGAAAACTAACAAACAGAAAGGACACCCACACCAAAACACCATCACTACCTCACCATCATCAAAGACCAAAGGCAGATAAAACCACAAAGATGAGGAAAAAGCTGGAAATTCAAAAAATCAGAGCATATCTCCCCCTCCAAAGGAACGCAGCTCATCACCAGCAATGGACCAGCTGGACAGAGAATAACTTTGATGAGTTGAGAGAAGAAGCCTTCGGCTGATCAAACTTCTCAGAGCTACAGGAGGAACTACATAACCAGTGCAAAGAAACTAAAAATCTTGAAAAAAGAATGGAAGAATGGATAACTAGAATAATCAATGCAGAGAAGGCCATAAATGAACTGACAGAGATAAAAACCATGACACGAGAAATATGTGAAAAATGCACAAGCTTCAGTAACTGACTCGATAAACTGGAAGAAAGAGTATCAATGATTGAAGATCAAATGAATGAAATGAAGTGAGGAGTCTAGAGAAAAAAAGGAAAAAGAAATGAACAAAGCCTCCAAGAAGTGTGGGATTACGTGAAAAGACCAAATCTACGTCTGATTGGTGTGCCTGAAAGTGACAGGGAAAATGGAACCAAGATGGAAAACACTCTTCAGGATATCATCCAGGAGAAATTCCCCAACCTAGTAAGGCAGGCCAACTTTCAAATTCAAGAAATACAAAGAACGTCACAAAGATAATCCTTGAGAAGAGCAACTCTAAGACACGTAATTGTCACAGTCACCAAAGTTGAAATGAAGGAAAAAATGTTAAGGGCAGTCAGAGAGAAACATCGGGTTTCCCACAAAGAGAAGCCCATCAGACTAACAGCAGATCTCTCAGCAGAAACACTACAAGCCAGAAGAGAGTGGGGGCCAATATTCAACATTCTTAAAGAAAAGAATTTTAAACCCAGAATTTCATATCCAGTCAAACTAAGTTTCACAAGTGAAGGAGAAATAAAATGCTTTACAGACAAGCAAATGCTTAGAGATTTTGTCACCACCAGGCCTGCCCTACAAGAGATCCTGAAGGAAGCACTAAACATGGAAAGGAACAATTGGTACTAGCCATTACAAAAACATGCCAAAATGTAAAGACCATCGATGCTAGGAAGAAACAGCATCAACTAACGAGCAAAATAACCAGCTAATACCACAAGGACAGGATGAAGTTCACACATAAAAATATTAACCTTAAATATAAATGGACTAAATGCTCCAATTAAAAGACACAGACTGGCAAATAGAATAGAGTCAAGACCCATCAGTTTGCTGCATTCAGGAGACCCATCTCACATGCAGAGACACACATAGGCTCAAAATAAAGGGATGGAGGAAGATCTACCAAGCAAATGGAGAACCAAAAAACAAACAAACAAACAAACAACAACAAAAAAAGCAGGGGTTGCAATCCTAGTCTCTAATAAAACAGACTTTCAATCATCAAAGATCAAAAGAGACAAAGAAGGCCATTACATAATGGTGGTCAAGGGATCAATTCAACGGGAAGAGCTAACTATCCTAAATATATGTGTGCCCAATACAGGAGAACCCAGATTCATAAATCAAGTCCTTAGAGACTTACAAAGACACTTAGGCTCCCATACAATTATAATGGGAGACGTCAACACCCCTGTCAACAACACTGTCAACATTCAACAGATCAACAAGACAGAAAGTTAACAAGGAAATCCAGGAATTGAACTCAACTCTGCAATAAGCGGACCTAATAGACATCTACAGAACTCTCCACCCCAAATCAACAGAATATACATTCTTCTCAGCACCACATTGCACTTATTCAAAAATTGACCACATAGTTGGAAGTAAAGCACTCCTCAGCAAATGTACAAGAACAGAAATTATAACAAACTGTCTCTCAGACCACAGTGCAATCAAACTAGAACTCAGGACTAAGAAGCTCAATCAAAACCGCTCAACTACATGGAAATTGAACAACCTGCTCCTGAATGACTACTGGGTACGTAACGAAATGAAGGCAGAAATATAGATGTTCTTTGAAACCAATGAGAACAAAGATACAACATACCAGAATCTCTGGAACACTTTAAAGCAGTGTGTAGAGGGAAACTTTTAGCACTAAACGCTCATAAGAGAAAGGAGGAGATCTAAAATTGAAATCATAACATCACAATTAAATGAACTAGAGAAGCAAGAGCAAACACATTGAAAGCTAGCAGAAGGCAAGAAATAACTAAGATCAGAGCAGAACTGAAGGAGATAGAGACAAAAAAAACCCTCCAAAAAAAATCAATGAATCCAGGAGCTGGTTTTTTGAAAAGATCAACAAAATTGATAGACTGCTAGCAAGACTAATAAAGAAGAAAAGAGAGAAGAATCAAATAGACACAATAAAAAATGATAAAGGGGATATGACACCGACCCCACAGAAATACAAACTACCATCAGAGAATACTATAAACACCTCTGCGCAAATAAACTAGAAAACCTAGAAGAAATGGATAATTTCCTGGACACTTACACTCTCCCAAGACTAAACCAGGAAGAAGCTGATTCCCTGAATAGACCAATAATAGTCTCTGAAATTGAGGCAATAATAAA